CAGTGCCCACTTCATAATCCATTTTATTTCAGTGTGTGTAGATGATTTAAAACCTTCTCTTTCAAATAAAGCGTATGATATGTGGTCTAGTTTATCCACCAACCGTCTGAAGAATTCATCTAACGCCGCGAGTCTTGCAGCTGATTTTGCTGTAGAGCTTTCCACTGCAATGTCAATTGATGGTAGGTTGAGTAATCTATATAGTGCAGTCGTTGGAGTGGTTCTGTGGACTAAGCGTTAGATGAAATATATTTTATTGCGGGTTACCTTATGCTAAAAAGAAAGTATATGCGCATTTATTTCTCAAAAACTACACTTTACAATAAATTTTCTTTCCTAAAATTATAACTGGTAATTTTATTAGCGATGAGATAACCGTTTGAATTTTATTTCTGAGTAGTTCCATTTTGTAGTTTTATACTTATGGTGCACGACGTCTACTTCCCCGATTTATGATTTATAGAGCGTGTTGCATAATAATTTGTGCGAATAATAATTGATCTTTGTCAAAATTTCCGTTAATCAGGCGAGAACTTTTTTATTGTCAAGTAATTAAAAAAAATTTAATAAAATTATTCAGAAGATAATTACTTACATAGAATGCTTTATCAGTCCCTTTAATATCTGAAGGGTTCTTCAGAATTGGAATTCTTTCTGATTCGAAAGTTAACAGTTGCTTATATGCGAGTAAACCCGAAAACTCTTCATAAAAAATATTATGCTGGTCATTGAACCTCACATTTTTTTATTTGGAAAAAGGAAATTTAATTATGTAACACTTGCCAAATACTGAATTAATGTGGATTATTTACACACAAGAAAATAAATTATAGCAAATAATGAGCCAAAAATAGAGAAAGTGAAAATTATTTACTTTTTGAACCAAAAAATCGGGTGAATTAAGGCAATCTAAAGCAAATAAATGCAACTCACGCGCAACTGAGTGAAGAGGAAATAAAGTAATATAGGCAACAACACAAAACAAAGACAACAAATAAATTATCATTGAAAATATACAGTTAGTGTTGCATTCAACACAACAACAATAAAACACAAAGTGAAGAAAAATTAACAATGCCAGAGTGGCGGAAATAAAACAGAGCCAACGAATTAACAGAAAACAGAAAAAATAATAATAAATAAAAATAAAAAATACAAGAAAAAAGCAAAAATAATAATAAAAAATTAAAAAACCAAAAGAGAATTGTAAATTACAACAATTAAGGCGACACAGATTTTAGATTCTCTAATTAAGCAGCCGAGAAAATTACTTAAGCAACAGTGCTTTGCAGTGCTGGGGGGCGGTGACGGATGGACTTGAAGAATCAAGTTCGACATACGTACATAAACTAACATATGTGATGCAGCGACTTGCCACAGCGATTGAGCAGAAGATAACGAAAAGAGGCTGCGAGTTGTTGGTAGTGCTGTGAAGCTACAAATAGCTGACGGTGAACTGCGAAGCGTCGCGACCGTCGTTAATAGAGGCGGCGGCTGTTGCAAGTCGCAGAGCATGTGGGTCGGCATTACTTGCCTTTTGCTTATGTTTTTTATATAAAAAAGGGTGTGGCGGGGGTATATGTGCGCTTGTGAGTGACATGTAAAAATTGGGCACACAAGCAAAGCGGACAGGCAAAGTTAATACTACAATGGAGGTGGCGCGAGTTCAATGAACTCAATGCAATTCGAAAATGAAAATACGACATGGAAGCGGTTAAAAAACGAATAGGTAGGCGAATCGATGGAATAAGCGGCAATTCAAAAATACAATTTTTATTTTTAAATTCTCGATAAATTCACGAGTTTAACGATTGTTTGTATTCTTAAAGCAACTAGAAGAAGCTCTTTCCTCATAAGAACTTTAAGACGGTATTAGAATAGCTCATTAATATGCGCCCTAAACTCGTGTTTAGGATGTTTAGCCACAAAGCGGTCAAATATTTTAACAAAGAAATTTAGTTTTGTAAGCATATTTTTTAAATTTAATAGTACTGTACTTTCATAAACACCAAAAAGTGGTGTTTAAGGTGAGTTGAAGTGAATCTTAAAACGATTTCCGGAAGTTTTTAAGGCGAAAGTGGTTGATGAACTCAAGTTTATGGTTCACATACAGTAAATTGAATATAATTAATGTAATATAATAACAAAAGAGTGGTGTTAAAAGTGGGTTAATTGAATTTTTTGTCAATTTCATCAATTTTCGTAGTTTCTAAACAGCCTTTAATGCTAAAGTGACCGATAAACTCGAGTTTATGGTTTATCTTTAGTACATTTTACATATAAAATAGAATAAAATGTCAAAAGGTTGTTGCTAAAAGGCGAGTTAAATGATTTTTTTTGTTAAACTCCGTGTTTTTGAGCGGTGTTGAATGTTAAACCTCAATTAAGGCGAGTTAAAGCAAAACAAAAAAAAACAATTTCGGCAGTTTTTAAGCAGTCTTTAATACTAAAGTGGCAGTTAACTGGCGTTTTTGGTTTATTTTTAGTGCATTCAGCATAAATAATAGAGTAAAGCACCGAAATAGTGGTGTTAAAGAAGAGTTAAATATTTTTTTTTTCAAATGCCATGTTTTTGAGCAGTGTATAATGTTAAACACCAAATATACTGATATACTCGAGTGTATATAAGTGATTTAGCAAATGGCTTAGCTTATAATTTTTAATAAATATTTATATAAACCTTTTTAGATCTCCATAAATGCCTGCGAACACTCTAAAAAATACTCAAACTCTTATTCTTGGGTCACCTCTTCTCTACAAGTTAGCAACCAACACACTTATATTTCATACATATCTGAAAATTATGAAAATATTTTATATGCATAATTTTGTATGTATGTATGTTTGCTCAAAGATGCTTATTCATCCAAAAAATATTTTGTATTTCCATTGAATTTTGGGTGTGGCTGCCAATTGAATGGAATGTGATTAACAATTAGAAGCAATAAAACAAAAAATAAATGAATAATAAATTTCTTTGCCGCAAAGCAATGCAGCTGCTATGCATTTTCCTTGCATTCCTCTAGATGTTTGTTTATAGACGAAAATTATTTATGGGTAAACTTTGTAAAGAAAGTACCATGGAATTATAGATATATATATAGATTATAGCAACATCATACCCAAAAATGTGGCATACGAATCAATGGTAAAAGTTAATTATTTACCGGATGCACTTCGATACAGCATATGAATTTCCTGTTTATGCAAGCAATAATACTTGAAAATATTTAAATGATGAAAAACTGTTTTATGCATTTAAGCGCACGCTTTTGTTGTACATATGCATATATTTACATACATATAAGATATAACCCATAAATTGAATATACATTTTTTCTGAATATTAAAGAGAATATACTCAAATAGAACACTTTAGGAAGGCTTTTTGCTTAGTTTCCAACATAACTCGAGCAACCAGAAAGTCTTAAATGCACTCTTGGAGAGTTATCTTCGATTCCTGACTGATATATTATATTATATGAGGGACCATTAAGAACATAGTAAAGTAGTAGTTTTAGGATTTCAGTTAGAGAGAATGTGGATACTCTCTTCTAAATATTAAGTAGCAAAACGAGTACGAAAAAAAAAATTAAATTTTGTCAATTATTAGTTTTTGTTCGAAGATTTTCTAGAGAGATTCTTTTTTTAGACTTTATCAACGAAGAAGACCAGAATTACTGCAGCAGTAGAGGGCATTTTATTAGCGGTGAATTGAATGTGACCTACACATATTTTTATAATGAATAAATATGTGGCATCATCAAATTGCTGTATTTTTCTTCTTCAAATTCTTTTTGAGATATCAATTTGGTTGTTATACTCACATACATACCTACTTTTGTATGAAGTAATCATAATCGGTACGAGCAATTCGTATTTTTTTTAATCGACCGCAATCACTCGGCCACAAAGTGTAAGCTGATGAATGGGCGCCTTTGTACATTTATGCACTGTTTGTCAACGCGCTGACTTCATTTAAGTCATTTCGCACAAATGATTGCAATGATATTAATCTGACGTGCATATGACGGTTAAAAATTTTAAATATAAAAAATTAAACAAAGCAATAAAGCAATAAAGCGTTTTAATTTCGTTGGTTGTAAATAAAAATATTTTTTTCTGGGTACTAATTTTCAGCAAATTATGTTTTTATATTTTCATGTTAATGAAATTGTTTTGTGAATAGTTTTGCGGTTGTGTATTGGATTAAATAATAAATTTCTTAAATATTACTACTTTATTTTCTGGTGAGTTCTTTTACCTGCATTTCCGTGACCACACTTTAAATGCTACGGCTTGCCTTAATAATTTGCTGCGACTCGATTTAATATTTTTGTAAAGAAATATTTTGCAAAATTTTGATTTTTGAAAAAGATGTCAGACCTAAAATCTTACGGGTACCGAATTATTTCGGAAATATTGCTTCGAAATATCGCGAAACTGGAAGCTCTCTTGTGTGAGCTTTATTTTCTGAGTTTAAGCATGAACTTTTAATATTAGCGAATTTATATAGGATAACTACCACGAACGGTACAATATATGGATCTAGTTTTTGGTAGTCATCGATCTAATATCAACTGATTTCTTCGATCCATTTCTCGAGCTCTTTAATTTATGCTAGCTTGTTTTTCCGAGATCGTATTATAATTAAGAAAATCAGAATATATATTGTATTTTGAGCTCTCTTCTTGAAGGCAAAACTCATTTATGCACGATTATTTTCTGATGCAAAAAAGAATAGAAAAATAATTCGAGCTTCCATCTAGTTAGATTCAAATAAAAGATCTTTCGATAATCTCTTTCATACTTTTGGGGCCGCCACAAAATGTTTACTCGCCCAACCAGCACTCGGCTCAGGTTTTCGATTACAAGGATTAACCATTAATTTTAAATCTTTTTTAATAAGAAGGTCATCGAAAGCGCTACATAAAAATAGCCGTTCAGCCAACAAACGGCAAGTCTTTAAGGTTTCTTTAAAATAATTAAACACTAACAAATCACTTAAATCAAACAATTTAGCTTCATATAAAGACAAATTGTCAAAAATTAGTTCAAGCGCCACCTCTGCCAATGCCTCTCCAATACTTTCAAAATGTTTGTTAAATCGAAACGTCTTTTAAAATACGCTTTTTACAAAAGTTGATTAGATTTTCTTAAATATGTGCCACTCTCCATTCGCTCACAAATTACAGGGTGCACGGAGAGGCATGAATCTTTCGCGATACTTGTTGAATTTGCGTGAACATTCAATTTGAGGCAGTGCTCTGTAGATTCCACCTCCAATGACTTTTTTGGTCCATACCGTACTGGCAAACCGTTACTAATATACCAAAACGCATTAGGAATACCCAGATCCGTAGCGCCAAACCAATACTCTTGAAGCATGCTATTACGTAGGCAATGCCGTGTGATCAACACCATTTTTTCGTGCTCATCCAGAGTAGCTAAAGTGAGATCATTTAGTAAGCAATAGCGCAAGCCCGTAAACCAGTTCATCTAAATAATTAAGTGAATATGTCACTACTATGGTGTAAAACTTGGCTAAACGTCAGGTGTCAGGTCAACTCACCGATTTTTTGGGTATGTGAAAACAACTGCCACGAAAGGGTATAAAATAACGCGCTTCACCTTGAGCGCGCCCACAGCTTCTGCCCAACAATTGGTGATCTGCAAAAAGTTTATTACTTTATTAAGCTTGAATATTTTTGATCTTATTCGCTTACCTATGGGAACGGATAGCAGTAATAACGGCAAAAGTATTAGGCAGCAGATAAGATGTTTAAACTTCAAACGTGCGGACATGGCTGCCGTAAGATGTTTTGAAAAGATTTGAGCTTAGAGCTAATTGCAAATAAGGCATGTCCAATTTGTGTTACAAATTACTTTAGTAACGTTAATATGTTCTACATTTATGTACTAACTTACTTACCTAATTCCATCGCAAATGGATTGACTGACATTGAACACATTTTTGTGGATCTTTTCGCTTGACTAACCGTGCGTTCACAACTGCTTAAAGAAGGCCTGTCCTCGCTATCCATGGCATTAAGTCACTTTGTGATAAGACTATTATGGGTGACAGGTCACAAAGGAATCGCAGGTAACCGTAAAGCGTTTGGGCTGGCAAGAAAAGGCTTTGTGCGTTCTACTACTGTATAGTTCTCTAACTTGAGGAACCTAAAATTTGTCTCAAACTCTAACTTATTTTGCAAGAAGTATGTGGAGGTGCTACAATAAACATTTATAGATAATTGCCAGCGAAAGGTTTTAAACGAGATTTGGTTTTCCTGTGTCTTTTTTCTGTCGCTAAAGTGCAAATTTCCGCTTCGGAAAGATCGTAATATGGCGATTGAGCCATCCCAAACCAAAGCTATATACAAGCAATAACTAATTACAAACAGTTATTTATTACATTTGACCTACTCTAACCTTCACTAAATGTCTACCTTAATACATACACTCACACATACATTTGAAATATTATATGAGTGTAATAAATATAACTGTAATAACAATCTACCCTACAACTAATTCAATTAAAGTGGCATTAACAATTAATTACGCACACTTATACAAATAACTGAAGAAATTTATGCAATCATTGTATAAATGCCTGCTGCCTTACAAATCAATTTGAGTACCTCCACTGTCGTTGATATGCAACCGAAATTTCTTGAACTTCAACTTGGTCGTGCGCAACGAAATTGAGCAAATTGAGTGAGTGGCATTGCGGCAATTGAATGCACTTTGTGGGCATTGAGTGCAGAATTTGCTTAAATATCTCTGCATATACTTGTAGTTATATTTATAAGTCATAATGCCTTCATAAACTCTGTTTGTATGAGTAACTGTATGTGATGTGTAACGCGTGACGTTTGATGAGAGGAATTCGCTGCAGGAATGTATTGTCGACAATGACAGATGCATTCAAGTTATTTAATTAATAAGATTTTAGGAATGCCTCGTTTGTAAGCAGAATTAGACGAGTAAAGTGAATGGAATCGCATTGTGTTTAGTAATTGGGAGGGTGAGTGGGGCGTATCTAATGGAAATATGATTTATAACAATTTTTAAAAGTATTCTTGGATATGTTGTTGCTTTGATAGTAAGAAGAAACTGTTGACATTGTGCTCACGAAAGACTGCAGAGTGCTGTTTCATTAAAGCTCACTTGCGTTTAAGCGGTATACCAATTGAATTAACTCTAAATGGCATACATTTAGTGCATTTCAGCCAAAACGGGATTCATAGCCAACTATAGAAATTATTGACAAATTTAAGCGGCCTAAGCTCGCTTAATTCGCCAGCTGAGAAGTTTGTTTTTAAATCAGAAGTACACTCGCACCCATCTAAATCTATTCACAGAGTCAAAACATTGTTGCTGTTGCTCTAAGGTATACTTTTGAAGGGATGTTGTTGAGCTTACAGTCCAAGGTGGGATATACATCCGAGTAAATTCAGATCCATTGCGGTTAATAGACTTAATTGTCGAAGAAAATCCATATTTTTGCCTGAAATCGAAGAGTTGAACCGGTGAAAATTCATCATGGTGAAAATTTCCAAAAAAAAAGAGTTTTAAAATATTTTAAAGTTTCAGAATTTTGTGTCAAAAAGCTTTATTAGTTTGTAAAATTTTAAAAACTTAACAATTTTTCCACTTTGTCAACACCACAGACCTCTATTATATTGGAAGAATTTCATTTTCCAATTACACAAATCAGGGTTATAGTAAATTTGCTGTATTATTTGTGTCTCTATCGGTTATCACAGAGATTTAGCCTCTTTTCGAGCACTTTCAACATTCACAGATTAAAGTGTTGTTTTTGTGCCTGCTGATATACCAGATAATGCAAGAGTACTGGCTAAAGGGCGAGTCTAGAAAGTTAGGTCCTATTGGAACTGATTATAGTTTTAAAATTTGTTATAGTGTTAGTTTTCAGAACCTTAACTTACCACATTTTTACTGGGTTTTTAGACAAATATTGTAAAAGACTACAATATTTTGACTTTTTAGCGTACTTGATGACAAATCCAAAAGTGCTTAAGAATTCAAGCTTGTTTATCTGTATTATTTTATACAGATCTAACGAAGTTTTTGATACTAACTAAATTTAGAGACCTAATACACTGTAAAAATATGTAACCCCTACACATTTTAGAGACCATTTTAAATGGATTCTTATGACACGCAATCCTATCGTTTAGTATTGATTTTTTGAGTTATAATCGTAAACTCATTACATGTAAAGAGCACAAGACTTATGTATGGTATATACAGTTATTTACATATTATGCAGCATGAAAATTATATCCACTGAGTATTTCCCATTTGTCGTGCTTCTCTTTCACCGGTTTTCACATCAACAACCCACAATTTTCGATTAGTGTTTTAGATAGCCAAATCGACGCCTTCAATCACATTCCCTTGACAGCTGTGGTGACATCATTCACCATCCGGCTTACTGTCAAACCTTTCACACTTTTGCATTTGTTGAAATCTGCTCGGCTTTGCCAACCTTACGGCTGTATGCCGGCTCCTTTTGTGACACTCAGACTTACGTCTTTGCTTTAACGCATTTAATCAGATGTCAGCGACTCCGTGGCGACAGCTTTCTTTATTGCTTTGGAGCTCTGAATATTACTCTTTCGTGTTTAGTGTATTCGATTTTATTTCGAGCTTTTACATGTGTTCGCACTTTATGTTTTTATTGATTATCACATTGGCTTAGTTCCAAATGAATTTCGTAATAAACTAAAAATACCAGGGAAAACACTTTCACTGAATTGTGAGCAAATAGACGGCGGAGAAATACACGATTTTATTTGGCAAGCGTTCTTCGTTTAATTTAAACACTTGAGTGTGCCGGTTTTTGATCAGTGACAGCCAAGCAACTTTTTTGGAAATAAGAAAATTTTGTTGAGCGTAGAGGCATTTTCGAGTATTTCCGAAGTTGTTTTTGCTGCAGCTTCTTCTTCTTCTTCTTGAGTTAGAGTTATTTAGGCCGAAGCTATGTAAACGAGTCTGTAATCAGATATCTAATGTTTCTCGATTGCTGTCGGCTCGATGTCGCAAATGTTTCAAGTTAGTCCATAGTTGATCCTTCAATACATTGAACCTTCATTCCAAGACAAAGAGTTGTAAGTCTACTTCTCTGACCTTAAACTGTGATTGTTGCCAACTCACAATTTTTCATAAATCTTTTAGAGATTTGTTTTATCAAAAATGATTCCCGAAAAAAAATTCACAAAAATCTTTATTAAAGACTTATACAACAATCCTTATTTATTTAATAACAGAAAGTGTGAAGTAGAACAAATAATTGTTATAAACTCGAGTTTAAGGGTAGTATTTAAAGTGAGTGTTTTAGTTACTGAAAGTTCGGGAAAGTTTGGAAAATTTTTGTCATAAACTCGAGTTTAAGGTTAGGGTTTAACGTGAGTTAAATAATATTTTTGGCTTTTTTGCGGTTATAAATATTTTTAATGCTAGAGAAGAAAATGATAAGTAAACTCGAGTTTGTTAAAAAACTCTAAAAGTTAATTTTTTATAGAAATGTGGTATTCATTGAAAATATTATATTAATTACTATAAAGAGTTATAAACCCTCCTTAGCCTAAATACAGTTATGTATGTAGAATCTAAACTGGATAAACGTTAACACTTAACCTCTCTTTAGAATTATCTGATCCGGTCCGAGAATAGTCTTATAAGTTGAATATATATGTTAGAGGGATCGACAGAGCTTGTTCTACAACATAGAACATTTCATAAGTATTAAGGTTCTCTCTTTCATAAATAAGGTTTGAGTACTAAGATCGAAAGGATGCATTAATTCACAATTTTTTTCGAGAAAAATATACTGTCTCTTCTATATATTGGCTGTAGATAAGCTGTTTGATAAATTATCGGCCATACAATGTTCACACAATTTTATTTGCTGTAGAGAAGCAGCGTTAAACTTTTTTGTTGTCAAGTTGAACCAGCCTACTATACAAAGGTTATAAACAGCCTGGAGAAAGAGTCATGCAGAAGAAGGTACTTTTTACGCCAACCTTATATAAAATGTAATCATCAGATGGTATGACCGCTTCAGCAAGAACACCGCGCTCAAATCAATTACATTTCCAAGAATATCAAATTGCGCTCTTGGGTCAACCACTTGGTGTATTACGTTCGTTCAACAAGTCAATGGTCTGTTTGATAGCACCCCCAGTCAAATCAATATTATAGTAATCTATGAACATTTCGTGTTTAATTTCTCTTACCACTGAATTATTTAGCATTTACAACTAATAAATAATTAAGTTGTATGTGTGTTGCCTGCCAGCGAGCTCTAGTCGCCAAAACGATGGTTGCTTTTGCGTGCGGCTACTTGTCGGACATTTAGTATTTAATAAAATAATTGAAATGACCTCAGACAATGGCGCTAAAAGTAGGCGATATATGTACATATACTCGTACATATATGTGCTGAGTGGAAAAGAAGAAAAAGCAGCAGCTACGATTAAATGACAGCATAGACACAGCGCCATGTCGTGTGAACCACTCATTTGTCCTTGACACGCGAGCCGGTCAAAGTGTTCGAATATTTTTTTATGTAATGCTAGCCCGACTGGAAACATCTGTATTTTTTTTTACACTCGCCCTTTCCCGCTCACACAAATTACTACTTTTATATGTTTTTTATAGCAATAAGAGTTTTTTGTTGTGGCCTTTTGCCTTCGGTACCTTGTCTAGCAATGTGTACTTGACTTATTGATTGGTTGTTTTTGCGATTTTTGCTTAGCTCAGGTTTCTGTGTATTCTCCTTTTCGTTGCTAATATAACTTTAATGACCACTCTGTACTGTACAAACTACTCATTTTACATTTCCTCTGAATTTACTGCGTCTCCGCCAAAGGATGAGATTTCGTGTTCGTGTTTATTGCTCGAATTTATTTTGGACAAAAAAACCTTGTCAAGGACATGTTAGACTATGTTGTTAAGCGAAGACTAACCCTCATTATTATTACATTTGTTTCTGTTTTAATTTTTTTTTTGTTCCTATACGATATGTTCACTGGCATTGGGTCAGCAGCTGTTTTTTTTTGTTTCGTTTCTGCTGATGGAATCACGTCATTAGATGATTTTGAATGGGTTGTAAAAAGTTGTTTTGTTAGTAACTTTTGCTATTGTTATTGGTGTTGTTTTTGTTTGTGTTGAGTTTACCGATGTAATTCGTTATTTTATGGAAAAGTAATCGAGTTATTAGTAAAAGGTATACAAATGTTATTTGCCCAACCATATTCCTCGTATACTCGTTTGTATACACATACATATGTATATATGGTACATACATATACATACTATATACAATACATGTAGTATAAGAAGACACTAAAATTTGACGAATAATTTAAAATTTTCAACTGAAAAATGAAAAACAGCAGAAGAAAATATATCTTTTTGCTACATTAGCAACGATAGTACCCCCTCCTCTCTGCTAGGGTTCAATCAGATATGATCCTATTTCCTGCTTGTTAGAATATATCTTTATAGTAATATCAATATTGATGTTCTAATTTTTCACGCTGAAAAGCAAAAAGGTCATAAACCACGCAATTGATAGGTTATGTAACCGATTGTTAAAACAGAAGTTAATTTTATATATGGCAATTGGTACTGGATACTTAAAATCGATGTTGAGTAAGAGTGATGCTTGGTACAGCAGTTCTTACTACGAGTTATGCTAAGTGCTGACAATTTTTGAATAAT